AGAGAGAGAGAGAGAGAGAGAGAGATGACAAGAAGCCAGACATTGGAAGGTATAATAAGAAGAGAGCGTGTGATTGTATGACAATGCTGAGGCCAGTATGTGTGGTGCCTATAGTATTAAGCTTCTGAGAAATATCTGTAGTTATGTGTCTATATTAAAATTGTTTTCAATAAAATGTTAAAAGAGTGATTATGCATATTTCAAACTGAGGCTTTAATGTTAAATGAATGAAAAATGGATGGCAGACGCCCAAACTTCCTCTTTTGATATTTTCCCCTATATCCATTCATTCCTCTAAGAAGTTACACTTTTTTATGCAATAAGGTGAGTTAGCTCATGTAATAATTAGTGATCAAACTCAAGAACTCTTTGCTATGGTGAATCTCTTCCTACCCAAAATGAGGGTCATGGAAATTTTCTGTGAAAACCAATCAGTGTGTGTTTATAAGGACTCTAATATTCCCAATCAAATATTTGTTTTACTTTAACATTTTTGCCAAAGATAACTAGCAATACTACTCTTCTCTGAAAGCCAATAATTTAAAAATTCAAGACCTTCTTTCCTCTGGGACCACCTATATAATAACATTACAGCAATCACATGAGTTTGTATATAAGATGTTTGGGTATTAGCTCCCTTAACAGCCAACAACAGCGTTTTGCAAAGTGTCAGCATATCCCAGTCTCCTCTAAAAACCAAGTAGCTCAGCTGCACAAGCAGAATGGAGCACATCGCGGCATCTTCAATGACTGCTAGTACACTTACATCTAGCCGCCTGTTCTTTGTACTGATCTTCAAGGGTCCCCGAGCCCTTAAGGAGAATTTTTCAAAGGAATACCTTTTCTAAGTCCAACAGTTCAGTGTAACTGGTCTTCCTCTCACATCCTCAAAAACTTCATTAGAATTGCATTCCTCAAAACTGGACTTCTGCTATTTTCTAAGGTCGTGCTCATAATCCCAGATTTCTTTTTTATGGTAACGAACTAGTCATACCTTCCAGCTCCCTGCAGCCAAGTTCTGCAGGGCGCCTGCCGCCCCTTCCAGCGTGTCTGCATTTGAGCACTCAGAGAGCAGTGTGAGGTAGGGTTTGACTATTGATGGGTGCCACAGCATCTGGATCCCTTTTGGTGGTTCTGCACAGTCGGGAAGAGGTCCTACTCCATCCCACTGGAGGAAGAAAAATAAGAGAGTAAACATCTTTAACACCATTACACTTCCCAATATTGCCTTCTGTAAACATTACAGACCATAACAAAACCAGGGTGTCATAGCATTTGGTGAACACGTTTGGCATGTAGGGTAATGCAGTAGTTGTCCGAAAAGCGGAGAGCCATTCCTGCCCACCAGGAGCTTATGATGGAGGGTGAATGGGGTTGGAACTTGGACAAAAGTGAACGTAACTGGCAGTAGAATGGATAAGTTCCCTGAGAACAATTCTAGGCCATTGCTACAGGAAGGAAGGAGAAGAGATGGATTGATTTCGAGTGGGCAGCGAAGAAGAAGGTTACAGATCAAGGTGGCTTATTTTATAGTTAGCATACCACTGACATATTATAGTTAGTAATAATCAAGTGCCTTCACTTCTTATGGATAAATGTGGACTCTGATAAATTCCTACATAACTTGTTTGATTTTCAGTGCTATCATTGTATCTATAGGCTTCAATCAAAAAACAGAATAGACAAAAGAGAAAATTGCTATGGTTTATTAGATGCATTAGGATCGTATAGGCACACTAGATCTTATATTAATTTTGGTAGTTAAGTTTGCTTTGAATTGAATCTAATATATAACAGAAAAATCTGTGGTTGAAAGTTAATTACAAAGAAATTAGAAATTATAGCTTATTGCACAAAGGCATATCAGTAGACCATTAAAAAGAATAATTTTAAAGAACTCGTAGCAACTTGGGCAAATGATTACATTAACAGTTAAATGAACACAGCAGTATACAAATTGGTAAGGGTTTGTGCCTTATAGCATGTAAAGTGCATCATAAAAACCATGTAATGAAATAAAAACTTATTAATAAACTGTTTTTCATTTTTTCTACATTGAAAATTTTTTGTTGTGTTACTTTTATTTAAAATATAAAAACCGGTACTTTTGATTCTGATCTTTGATTATACACAGCCTTTGTCTTTTGTGAAAAATAAAGGCAACGAGTAGAATGAGGGTAGACATGAAATAAACTGTATGTATAGAAAAAACATTCCCATGTTCGCTTTTGAGAAGAACCACAGTAAAACAAAATAACCCTTAATTTTAGGGTGAAGTACTTACTAAGTTATTTAACTGCTTTATTTGTGTTTATTGATGATGCCTAAAATAAATATAGTCTAAATGTGATACACTCTGCTTTCTCACAGATATGTTCGGTTCATTTATGTGCAGTGTATATATACATGTATGTATAAATACAAAATTACAACTATATTTCAGAATCTGTGTAACGTCTGAAAATTTCATGGAAGAAAATATAGGCTTACTTCATATCCTTATAACATAAAAAAGGAAGTGTTGATAGAGACAGTGTAAAGTTATTTCACCGTCATAAATAATTTCAAGAATTTCATCATTTATTTTAAAAACAGCAACCCTGAAAACTCAAGCTTTCTATTTCTCAGTTATGATGCAGCTTAGTTTAAGTCGAGGCTAAATCTCAGAGATGAATGACATCCCATAGATGGATGTTGGACATCCCACTAAAGGTCTTTTTCAGTAAGAATGTCACTCAATTTCAACTTTCTAACAAGAACACTCAATGTAGGAATCTTCTTGTGTTTTTTTTGTTTTTAACCAAAGCCACTTCTAAACCATTCAAAGATGAATTTGCATCTGTGCACAGCCTATCAATGAAACCAGCACATGTCTTTTAAATACATTTCTTAAAAAATGAAAGTGAACCAGTCTGGTAACAGTGCACGTGGTTCACTATTTGAGACTGGCCCACTCCTTTGGATAGAAACACAGCACAAGGAAAGTAGGTTTGTTGATACTGATGATGAAAGAGGGGTGATACTGATTTCTTAAATGAAACCAGCTTGGGGTACTGAATTTATTTGCTAGTGAAACAGGAAATGGAAAATTATTTCATTTGGCTTTGTATTTTATCATCTTCTATCTTTTAAAATATCCTTTTCATACAAATATTTAATAATATTGAGAAAAGTCAGACTATTGAATTTAGAGCCTAACATAGATGAAATTTCTCTCTCATGTCAGAGCTAACACAACAGTAGCAAAAGATATACAGTATCTGCATGCTCATTACAATATGTGACAGTCAAACTCTATGAAGAGCGAAAGGCAGCTGGGTTGTGTTTGCTGGGTTCCATCTTGTTCTACTTTTCTAACTTCTGCGCAATAAAATGGAAGTTTTATTTAGTCATTTGGGATAAATGGCTAAATCATACACAATTTCCTTGTGCTCTGACATGCGATCTCTGTAGCTCTTAAATACCTTCTATTACAACTCTTTGTTAAGGATTACATAGAGAACCTGAAGGAAATAAAAGGAAAGCCGAAATGACAGGGATCATCTTTGATGGCAGCTAGAGATGGAATTCAAAGGGGATTCTCTGCTATTTCATAACGTTAATGGCACTCTGGCCCCTGTCAACTTCGAAGAAAAAGAACGGTTTCAAATCAGTCAATGGATCTGGCCTTCATCTGGGTACTTTATTCAGACTCTTGAGCTAAGAAGTATCAACTACCCATTAAGAAACTGTTTTTCACTACCCATAAAAAGAACAGAATCTTAAGAATTGTGCTAACATACTTGATGTTATGTTGCCTAGAAAATCAACATAATAGAACTATAGATCAATGGTGACAGGGTTGGACTGAAGGCATGAAACAGTTCTGCACATGCAAACTTCCACTGGTACCCTTCTTATAGAGTGAGGATCCGGAGAAATCATGGAGGAAATATGACATTTATAAACTTAAACAGAAGAGGTACCCAACCTAAAATTTCTACAGAATGGGCACATGGACTAAGGCAAGCAGTGGCTAAACCTTTAACCTCACACAGTGAGTCTTATGCAAACTGCTTATTTTAGACTATATTTTGAGGGCATATTATAAAAATTCTTTAAGAGCTTGAAATATGAAAGTGACATATAAAGAAGCAAAATGCCATCAAGTCAGAAGAGAGAATGTTCTATGTAGTGAAGACAGGGCACAAGCAAGAGGACAAAGTATTTCCAAAAAACCAACAGGGGCAATGCTGGCTGAGTATATTTGATTATATTATCTGTACTATTGCCAGGTTGTGGCATACAACCCCCCCTCCCCCCTGCTTACATATAAACATATGGCTGTGTGTGTATCTTCATTTATCAGGTTTAAATTGAGATATCAAGCTGAGATTAAAGTAAAAGCAAACAAAAAAGGAGAAAGGCATTTGTGATTTTAAGAAGTTTTATTCTAGCGTGGGGGAACTTTTCCGTGGAAATTCCCTTTTCTTCTCATAGTTTTACTCTTCAGACTTGGTAAATAAATGTTCCTCAATTTTGTGCGCATTTTTCATTTTCATCTGCTATACTCCAACAGATAAAATTTGCAAAAGTTCTAGCTGTTCTCGATTTTTAAAGGTATCACTTCAATGTTCACATGATATTTTGTGTAAGTCATTCCTATGTTGTTAGGTAGGAAAATATAACAGAACACACTTTAGCTTTAAAGTTCCCCTTCTTCATTCTCTTGTTTATAGGAATTTTAAATTTTGCGCATACAGTTAGAGTTCATGAAGCTAAAGATTCAGATGTTTTATGCATAACACCATGGCCTGACTGCTTGTGCCTGCCCAAGACTCACATGCCAAGGCCCTAATCTCCAATGTGATGGTGTTTGGAGGTGGGGCTTTGGGAGGTGATTAGGTTTAGATGAGGATAAGAGGGCGAAGCTCCCATGATGGGACTAGTGTTCTTATCATGAGATGAAGGGACCAGAGTTTTCCCTTTCTGCCTTGTGAGAACACAGCAAGAAGACAACCGCCTGTGAACCAGGAAAAGGCCCTCAGCAGACACCAAATTTGCTGGTCCCTTGATCTTGGACTTCCAGCCTCCAGAACCGTGACAATGCTTGTTGCTTAAGCCCCCCAGTTGACAGTATTTTGTTATAGCAGCCCAAGCTGGCGGCGACAGTAACCACAAAAAGGACTAAGAAATCTTGGTATGAGGAGGGTCCTCTAGCTACACCATGACTTCTGTCAGGGTGCTCTCTTAGACACAGGATGGAAGCAAAACAAGGAAAGTGGGTGGCAGGATTGTGTTGCCAGTAGAGCACAGAGCAAACCAACAGATTGATTTGTCTTCCCAAATAGTGCCACCCTCGAGAACATGGTCTCAGTACTTTTTCCACTGGCTTTAAATGCATGACTGTATAACAAGTGTCAATAATCAAATCAGTGAACAGTGTATGTCACTCACTTTCTAAACTTGTATAAAATTGTGAATATATATGATCTCTCCAAGACGGTAATGCTCAAACCTTATTAGAAAAGGAGAGAATAACACGCTCCCAGTTTAGAAGCCAAGGGGCTGCTGAAATTTGGATGCGGAGCTTTCTGATATGGTCGCAGGCAGGCACGGAGGGACAGACATGCTGGCCCCTGCAAGAAATGTCTGCTTAGGAAGGAAATCACATAGGTGAGGGGATGTGTTCAATGTGTGGGTTAAAAAAAATAAAAGGAAACAGCTTTCCTTTGATTTGCTTTTAATACTTTTGCTTCCCTCGAGGGCTTAAATTCCATTTAAAAGATTTCTATCTTAGTTGGCTTGAGGATGGAATAGTGGAAGTCATTGCTCCTTATAGGGAGAGAAAAATGTGACTTGGGGATAAAAATCAGAAAGTTCAGAAACTAGAGAGTAAAGATGTCCATACACTTTACAATGAGGGTTTGTACACTGGGGTCCTTTAAGGGGTGGCAGCTCGCAAGACCGCTTGAATGATCACATTCATCAAAGCGCCTAATGAATGAGAATTAACAAGAGGACTTCAGCTCCTCTCCTGGGAAGGAGGTTATACCTGCTCCAGTCGCCATCTCCAACGCACTGGGCTGGGTACCTTGGAGGTACAAACGGGAAGAGCTCTCCTAGTCAGGAGAAGGCTTTCCATCCCAGGAGAAATGCTAAAACACGCTGCTCCCCGCACATGTCGCA